CTCTGGTAGACACACATTACGGGCTGTTTGCGGCAGTAACGCTTTGGTTAGCCCGTTTCCCAGCGAGGCCTTGAATGGGAGGTCCTCTTCATAGCATATGGGTTCTTGTTTTCATCTATGGAGGAGATTGTCAAACAAATAAGATAGATATTTTGGATCACTGGAGGACGTCTTAACCACATTTCTAGCACACAGGGCTCTATTTTTACAACTTCTCACCATGTAAGCGACTTCTACAATAAAATCAGTATAGAGCCCTTATGCTTAAGGGACTCTCGGGCACTGCCAAGCGTGCTAATAGGTGAAGACGACTCAGCCCCTCCCCCCCCCCTCCAACACACACACACACACACACACACACAATTTTTGGCTCCCCCCCCCCCCCCAAAAAAAAAGCGTATTTCTGTAAGAAACCACATATTAGTAAGTCTCTTTTGTGATATTAATGAATTGCCGTATAACCACATTCTACATTAAACGGAGTACATTCCACATCTTTAGACAACTTTGTTATATAAACCGTACCGGTACTTTTTCATTTCACAGTTCGCTTTTTGCCTGCCACTGTGTGAACTTTTGAACAAGCGTATTTCCTTTAAAAGAATTCATAAAGTAAGTTAGTATGTTTAATAATATTATTTTATTAATCGATTTCTGCTCATTTATAAATGCCAATAAAGTGAAGGACCTTTTCATGTTAGTAACTTATCGAGCATTTGGCGTGAGACCCACAGGCGAATTGGGACTTGATGCGGGATGTGTGGAAAATATCACTCTGATATCACAGTCCTAATATGGGACGCAATGGTTTGTTACTGTAAAGTCCTACCCGGGCTGTAAGTAAATTATAAGTAAAGGACCATTTTCTACGCCTTTAGGCATATAGGGCTAGACCTATATTTTTTAGACCAATCGGCACAAGATGGGTGATGTGGTCAGCATCACGCCGGCCGCCTCTACTTCCCGGGACTGCACCCGCTACCCACTCAAGCCTGGGTCGACGTAGGAGCCAAGGTCATTTTTGAAAAAAAGTCCGGCTCCCCCAGGAGCCAGGAAGCGAAGCCACGACCTTCAGATCCGCGGCGACGTCTAGCCTCTCTGCCACGGCGACTCCCGGCTGTTGTTGGGAACCTAACGGTTGAAGGAGGTTTCTGGGACTTGCACTGAAGGGATTTTCATCTGTATAGTGGCTTTTTGCAACATCCGGTTTGAATCGCTCTGGTTGTCTTTACTTCACTGTAGTAAATAAAGAGGTAGTAAAAACCTTTTTTTCATCCCAAAACATATAAGGCACATTGGGCGTATAGTCCAGTCTTTTTATAGACCAAAATTATTACAATGTTGAGAAGTCATTCCCTTGTGGGATGCAATTGTTTTGTTATTTTGAAGCCCCGGCCTAGCTATAGACATGGTCTAAACAGCTTAAATGGGTTTCTGGGACCTCTCTACGGGTGATCCTTATCCGCATAATGGCACTTTGTGTCACCAGGTATTTATCCCTTGAGTGATATCTTGGTGGGGTACAAATACCTACCAAAAATATCAAAATAGTTTCTAATATCCAAGTTAAATTCTTGCCTATCTCAGAACAGTACTGGGGAAAGTGTCTAATTCTACCAGCACTTTGGTGTTGAATCCTCAACTGTTGTTTTGGTAGCAAAACTCCACCATCTTGACACCCATGTACACAGTTATATGTCATTTCTTACCATTGTGACACTGACATTAAACTGATTAAAAGGATATCAAGGATAAATTTCAAAATGAGAAAACCTACTCTCTACAAACATATTTATAATATGTTTCTAGGATATATTTTTAAAAGAGAGACATCATAGTGCAGTGGTTAGTATTCTTACAACCTAGTTTATAGTCATGAGTTTGGATCAGTTAGGACAAATTTTTTTATAAGCTTTTATTAAGTTCAGTTTTGTTTGTTTGTCTGGCTCAGTTTCTCTGGGTTTTTTTCTTTTTCTTTTTTACTTGAGATCCCTAATTAGCTCAGCATAAGTTTGGTACCAGGACATTTCCCTTTGAGGTTAAGACAAGTGTCAAGAATGGATGGGATTGCTGAAACCTGATGGTGATGGTTTACACCCCTTGTGCTCTCTCTAGGGGAATAGATAAGGGTATAAACTAGGAGACCCAAATGCACACTGGATACATTAAAAGAAAAGCTAGCAATGGAAAATAGTGAAAAGTAGGTCAAAGAGAGCATTAAAAGTCTACTGTTAAGCACCAACAAGGATATCAAAGTCAAGATTTTGAGAGCCTAAATCTTCCCTGTAGCAACATATGGATGTGAGTCGTGGACTGTCTCTTTGTCATAAGAAAGAAAATGAGGGTTTTTGAGTTGAAATGCTATAGGATGATTCTCAAAATACCATGGATAAAGAAGAAAAAAAAAATGGTGACATCCTAAAAGATCTGAACCTGAAGAGAGAATGGCTGGTAAACAGCATCTTGTATGAGAAACTAAAATATTTGGGTCATGTCAAGTGCCATGTCAGAAAGTGCATGAGGTGAGGGCAGTTAAGGAGAGATTGAGTTTCTTCAGGCAGACGGTGAGGAGAGTGAGGTACTGTGAAGGATCTGCCACATCATGATGATGATGAGGTCAGAATGACCAAAATCACTTAAGCTGAAACTTCTACATTTGACATATTTCTAGTGTTTTGCGGTGAGGTTTATTTGGGCAGAAAGAAATGAAGACAACTTACTAGACCATTCACCATTCCACCTCCATGAAAAGATTTATATTTACAAAGACCCTGAGTCTCACTAGGAAATAGAACATATTATCTGTGATATGTGGGGCAAAGTTTGAGTGTCTTTGTCAAAAACTTCTTGAAATAGGTGACACTATCTTGACAAAATTAACAAACCCACCCAGAAAATAAATATAAAAATAAAGTAAGTAAAGTAAAGATCCCTTTTCATGCCTTTAGGCACATCGGGCATATGTGAAGAGCACCTATATTTTTTACAGACCAGTCGGAATTAGGCGTGTAATCAATGTTGTCAGCATTGTGCCGGCCGTCTTTACTGCCCCAGACATACATCCTGGTACCCATTTTATACTTGGTTGACCTGCGACGCCCCATACCATGATAAAAACCCACACAGCCAGCAGTGGGTTTTGATCGCGGAACTTTGGAATTACGAATCGGACTTGCATCGCCTAAGCCACGCATGCCGCTTATATAAATATCTGGGTGGGGCTCCATTTAAGAGAAAATAAGAATCGACCCACTCCCCCTCTAACAAGCATGTTGTAAACGGCGATTGACTATTGTTGTTTCTTTTGGACTGAGAGGTGAGGAACCAATAGTCTGCATACAAATAAGCCATGTCTATAAAACGGATGTGCACACAAAACTCAAGATCTAGAACAAGACCAAAGTCCAGAAGAGGATGCAAACCAGGACCTTCCACCGGGGTTTTCAGCTGGTGAATGCAGAGAAGAATAAGTGTGACTGATTCTGGAACACACACTGTGGCTTCTTGCTAGTGATATAATGTTCGTGCATTATATTGACACTCAGATAGTCTAATAGAGAAAACAATCAAAATAAGTTAGAAAAATAGCTTTCCAATACAACCAAAATTAGTGTTATAGCTAGAACACCTTTATGAACATACAAAATACCATGATACAGTTGTATAAAGTGGTCATCATGGACACATACAGCAGTGTGAACTATAATAGACACTGACAAATGTACAGGAAGTGACGCAGAGAGGTAGGACAGGCTAGGCTGAAGATGAAAGGTTTTGATTTACATAGTCTGACCAATGAGAGAAGAGAAAGCACTTATAGAAGCACTGTGTAGAAAGAAGATGTCTCTGTACAAACTAAACCAAGTTATCTTCCCGTGTACTCTGATTGTAATTTCTTCATGTACTTTTCATTTGTGGACATTTGTCATTGTAAAAAAACAAGTAAAGGCAACGATAAGTCCATGGTAAATGCAGTCATGATGTTGTGAAGCGTCTCACCTTCACACGTACTTTGTTCTTGCATAATGATGTGTGGTTACTCATTTCACTGCCTTTCTGTCCAATAAATCTCCAGAAAGTTCTGATATGCATCTAGTGCTCACCTGACTTGGTCATCCCTAGAGCCATTACTAACTGAAGAAAAAGCATCCTATCATTGATGAGGTTTAACTCTTTAGCTCTCAAGCAACTCCTAATGTGTTCATAAACCAAACCTTAATTTCCCCTCCATAGTATAATGTGGTCTAATTTGTGTGTATGTGGTCAGAACACACTAAACAGATCTGGCTTTCCCAAATGGTAACTACCACAGTGTATTTGCCACTTTGAAAGTATCTCATTCATGTTATTTCTTTCCTTTGGATTCTCCTATGACACCTTCTGGGATCAAAAGATTTCAACCCAGAGCACTTTCCTTGTAAACTGACCACTGTGTCATTGTGGGTTATTTGTATTCTGTATTCTTTCTTCATCAACCTTCCAAATCCTTGAGGCTGTTTGTGCAGATATCTCCATTTTCTCGATCTGGCTGCTGTTTATTTTTACTTGTTAACAGATGCCTGAATGAAATGATATAGGAAAGGAGGGAGATCAGACAGGCCTGTATGCCAAATTCTTAACCCTTTGAAAATATAAAGTTTGTTCGGTATTTGCCAGTACAATTATTCTGTGACTGACCTTCACTTTCCAGTTGGTTACTGCAAGTGTTTGTAGTTCTGCCTGAATGTTATCTCTCTATGTCTTCTTAGTATGTCTCAATGTATGCTCCCAGTAATTAATGGTGATTTCAGTAAATTATTAATTTTATTGTTGCTTATCATTCACCACTATTTTCATTGGATCCAAATATGTGTCACAGTTTTTTTTATAGATATTGTTATGCTTTTCATGCAACCTTTTTGTATTTATGCATTTCTTAATGTTCTTTCTTTTATCTTTTTTTTAAAAACATTTACGTTACATTTAAATTTGCTTATATTTGTTTTATTCTTACAGAAATAATGGCCGACAGCAAAATAACGGTGACTTATTTTGACTTCAGTGGAAGAGCTGAGTGCATTCGTCTAGTTTTGACATATGCTGGTAAAGAGTTTGTTGACAATCGGATCAAACAAGAGCAGTGGCCAGGAATAAAGCCAAAATCTCCATTTGGACAACTTCCCTTTGTGGAAATAGATGGCAAGGTGTATGGCCAAAGTTTGGCTCTTGCTAATTTTTTTGCCAGGGAATTTAACCTGTATGGCAAATCAAACCTGGACAGTCTGAAGATTGACCAGCTTGCACAGCTCAATGAGGATTACATCCAGGAAGTGGTCAAAGTTTTTAGAGAACCAGACGCAGAAAAGAAGGCAGCGATTGAGAAAAACATAAAAGAAGTTGTAGCACCAAAGTTTTGGGCCTTTTACGAGAGGTTGCTGAAAGAGAACAATGGTCAGTATTTTGTAGGCCAGAGTGTGACCCTTGCTGATTTGATTGCCTATGATGCCGTTACCGGGTTTATCAAAACGTACGCAGGACCCCTACCTGATAGCTATCCCTTGCTGAAAGCACTGGTAGAGAAAATTGGAAGCAACAACAATATCGCTGCTTACAAAGCCAAACATCCATGAAGTTTTGTTCCATAAAGCTTGATTTAAGACTTTTTGAACTTTTTAGTAAATAACTCGTTCAGTTTAAGTTTGTGTCACATGTTCAGATAAATATATTCCACACAAGAAACAACTAATTCCTACAAACCAAACATCCATAAAGTTTTGTTGCATGATGTTTTATTTTTAGACTGTTTGAACCTCCTAGTACATAACTTATCCAGCTTAAGTTTGTCTCCCTATTCAGATCAATATATTACATACAAGAAATAACTTATGCACAGAAACCAGACATTCAGATGGTTTTATTGCAAGCTAATTGAAATTTTTTAATGTAGTTTGTTCCGTGTAAGAATATTTCTGATGTTCAGGTTAATGTGTTGAGTCAAAGAAATAATTCATTCATAATTATTCATAACATTGGACTGAGAGAAAGTCTGCCATTGGCAGAAAGAAAACAACTGTGTTCATCATCATTTTCCCTGCACAATTAAGTTAAAAAAAAGTAAAGGACCCTTTTCCACACCTTTAGGGCATATAGGGCTAGACCTATATTTTTTAGACCAATCAGCACAAGATGGGTGATGTGGTCAGCATCACGCCGACCACCTCTACTTCCCGGAGCTGCACCCGGTACCCACTCAAGGCTGGGTCGACCTGGGGCCCAAAGTCATTTTTAAAATCCGCAGCGAGCTTCACAAATATTGTCCTTTTTTTTTTTTTTTTTGCTATCGTCATCAGTTTATCATTATCATTTCGCACTATTTACAATAAACTTGACACGATGAAGCCTCATGAACAAATCATAACATGGAATTTTTCACCGGAAAGAAACTTTCATTCATGTAACCGCCAATTTCTCAAATATAATTTATACAGATGAATTGGTTTTTTTGACATTTGCTCCTGTTTTTTTTTCTCACCTGTATCACGGCTCTTTTGAGTCACTGGGTCTTAGTCTTTAAGAATGCAATGCTGGAGATAGAAACTTTTTAAAAATTCCTCCACATAAAGGTTTTTTCATATTAATGACATTTTCTTGTGATGTTTTGTCTGCTTTTGCACCTGAAGGGAATTAAAATATCTTGTTCCTCCTTATAAAATGGTTGTGATATTTTTTGTCTGAAAATATACATAATAGATTATTAACACTTTACTAAAATCCATGGAGGTAACAGATGAAATCAAGCAAGAAAGAGGTGGACAGTGATATGCGTGGGAGGATACCATCAAGAGAAGGGTTAAAAGTAACAGAGTGTACAACAGGTTTAAGAGATGGTGTTTAAGATCTACTTCAATCTTCATTGTGGAGACAGCACTTGATTTATTGAATGATTGAATTAATTAAATAGTACAAACTGAATTAAACGGTTCCAGAGGAATTATAAAACATGATATTCATCATCATGTGACAGGTCATTTGCAAACATTGCTGTCATAACTGCTTGTCTGAAAGAAACTCAGTGTCACACCAGATCTCCGGCCTCACGCACTTTTCTACCCAAGGTGTCACTTATATAATTTGCTGATCTTCAGGCTGATCGGCCCCTGCCCTCCTTTCTGCTACTAATGTTTCCAGTCTGCTGTGGGGCTTGATATGGTCAAAAGTTTCAGCTTCCAAAACAAACTGCTGTTTACTAGCTAATCTTCCTTGCTGTTCAGATCTTTTAGGATGTCAATGTTCCTTTTCTTCTTGGTCATGGTATTCTGTGAATCTTTCTACAGAATTTCAGTTCAGAAGCCTTTGTTTACTTCCATAATGACTGCAAGATAATCCATGACTCACATCCATATGTTGCTACAGGAAAGATGCATACTCTGAAAATCTGACATGAAAATACACTATCCATACCTCATCTGAAGCCTCATGTGCCACTAGGCATAACGAGAATTGATGATGATGATACCTCATTATGTGGCTGTTGATGCATGAGGCACTCACAAGTCATCTCTGTTGCTGCTGGTCTGTTGCTTTCCTCTCTTTAGTCTTTCATGATGTCATTACATGCGGGTCTTTTGCAGAATGTTGCTCTCATCACAGTCTACCTGAAAGAACTCGGTCTCTCACCAGCTCTCGGGCCTCATGCACTTTCATATCCAAGGAGTCCTTTATATCCTGTTCCCATCTTTGTATTTGTCGGACCCTGTCCCTCATTCCTGGTACCATGCTTTGCTATTATTTTTTTCCAGTCTGTTGTGGTGTTTAACATGACCAAAATATCTCAGCTTCTGTGACAAGATGCTGTTTATTAGCCAAACTTCTCTGATTGACAAATCTTTTAAAATGTCAATATTTCTTCTCTTCTTTGTCCATGATATTCTGAGAATATTTCTATAGCATTTCAGCTGAAAAACCCTGATTTTCGTCCTCAAGAACTGGGAGATATTCTACAACTCACATCCGTATGTTGCTACAGGGAAGATGCAGGTTCTCAAAATTGTATCACTGATTTCCTTTCAGTTACTTAACCATAGACATTTAATTTTGTAAGATTAAATGTCTTTAACTGAGACGTGCGTCAAAACACATTACGAGCATTTAAAAAAGAAATTTAAAACAAAACTTTGACCTTTTTAGCTAAACATTTTTGAGGTCACAGTTTTTATCAGAACAAAATTAAAAGTCCCAACTTGCACAGTGCATGAAGATTGCATTGCCTCCTTGTCCTAATGTTCAAGACCAACTGCTGTTTCTGCCTGTGGTATCCAATGTCATTTTATGCTCCTTTGTTTATCTGTCTACAGTCCTTCTCCAGGTTACGCTGCCCTAAACTGCAATAAATACAAACAGATTTCAAAAAGACAGGTTTAAAAAAAAAATATGTCCAGATTTAGAGTTGATGAGGCCCTAAACTAAACAAAGCCATCTGAGGCCCCGTACTGTTTTAAATGACATCGCCTAATCTCAGAAAACTTTGAGCTATATTCACGTCGTAAACATATGAATGAATTAAATTTATTATCTTTTAATTGTTACTAATAGAAATAGTAAAGAATATGTCTGCAAAATCACACAAATTATATAAGCCTCTTTAAGGCTCTGTTAAAAGAAAATTGCCTTACCAGACAAAGAAACAGGAATTTGTTGAGGCCCTTGCAGAATGTGAGGCTCTTAGATACAGCTTAGTTAGCTTATGCCTAAATGCAGCACTGATCCTATCTGAGGTCACTTCTGACCTTATCTATCCATAAAAGTAGAACTTGCAGACACAAACAAGAATAGGCTCAGGCAGTAAATTCTGTGGTCTGGTTTTCGAAGAAAAATTAGTGTCACCAACTTGCTCCTGCCATGACTGCGGTTATCTGCACCTGGCTGCTTCAACTTGTTCAACATTCTAGACTACACAACTTCCCTAACAAGCATGTCTTAAAAGTCGACTAATAGGGTGTGTTTCCTTCGTACTCGTGGTGCATCTGCCTGAGAGGCGATGAACCAATAGACTGTATAAAAATGTCAGATATGTAAAACGGATGAGCCATCAAAACTAAAGTTCTGGAGCAAGACAAGAGTCCAGACGAGGAGAACAACTAGGACTTTCTGCAGTCTGTGCACTGCAGTGGTCTCCAACCTGTGAGGGAAAAGGGGGAGGGGGTGTGAGGCGGTTTCAAGGAAAAAAAAGGGGGGGGGCACGTCAAGCAGTTTTGAAATTGAGTGCATTTGTACTTATAATAATCCGTTAGATTATTTATTTTTCAATTTAATTACAAACAATTTTTTTTTTACTAGGTATAAAACAAACAGAACACCATGGAATATTTAATCTAAAGTCCTCTTTTGAATCACATTTCATTATTTTGGGTGGGAAGCAGGGTGGTTGAAATCTTGCCATATACTCAAGGGTAGCATGGAGATCTTGCCATATTATCAAGGGAGGCATGGAGATCTTACCATATTATCAAGGGTAGCATGGAAATCTTGCCATATTATCAAGGGTGGCATGGAAATCTTGCCATATTATCAAGGGTGGCATGGAAATCTTGCCATATTATCAAGGGTGGCATGGAGATCTTACCATATACTCAAGGGTGGCATGGAGATCTTGCCATATTATCAAGGGTAGCATGGAGATCTTGCCATGTACTCAAGGGTGGCATGGAGATCTTGCCATATACTTAAGGGTAGCATGGAGATCTTGCCATATACTCAAGGGTAGCGTGGAGATCTTGCCATATACTCAAGGGTGGCGTGGAGATCTTACCATATTATCAAGGGTGGCATGGAGATCTTGCCATATACTCAAGGGTGGCATGGAGATCTTGCCATATTATCAAGGGTGGCATGGAGATCTTGCCATATTATCAAGGGTAGCATGGAGATCTTACCATATTATCAAGGGTGGCATGGAGATCTTGCCATATTATCAAGGGTAGCATGGAGATCTTACCATATTATCAAGGGTAGCATGGAGATCTTACCATATTATCAAGGGTGGCATGGAGATCTTGCCATATTATCAAGGGTGGCATAGAGATCTTGCCATATTATCAAGGGTAGCATGGAGATCTTACCATATTATCAAGGGTGGCATGGAGATCTTACCATATTATCAAGGGTGGCATGGAGATCTTGCCATATTATCAAGGGTGGCGTGGAGATCTTACCATATTATCAAGGGTGGCATGGAGATCTTGCCATATTATCAAGGGTGGCGTGGACATCTTGCCATATTATCAAGGGTGGCGTGGAGATCTTGTAATATTATCAAGGGTAGCATGGAGATCTTACCATATTATCAAGGGTGGCGTGGAGATCTTACCATATTATCAAGGGTGGCATGGAGATCTTGCCATATACTCAAGGGTGGCATGGAGATCTTACCATATTATCAAGGGTAGCATGGAGATCTTACCATATACTCAAGGGTGGCATGGAGATCTTACCATATTATCAAGGGTAGCATGGAGATCTTACCATATACTCAAGGGTGGCATGGAGATCTTGCCATATTATCAAGGGTGACATGGAGATCTTGCCATATACTCAAGGGTAGCATGGAGATCTTACCATATACTCAAGGGTG